CCGGAAACGAGAGAAGGAGTACCAGGACAGCCTGTACGAGAAGGCCGAGGAGTTTCACAAGTTTGCCGAGGAATCGCTGAAGAAAATGGAGGCGGAAGAATTCAAGAAAATGCTGGAGGCCCAGGAAAAACTAAAGACACTGAAGGAAAGCAAGTTGGCCGAGGAGCTTAACGAGGTGAAGCTGGAGCACCAGCGCGTCCTGATGGAAGTGCAGGAAGTATACGGTCGCTTTCAGTATCTGCTCAAGCTGATCAGCTACTTTGACGACACGGTGGAGGAGGAGCAGACCGAAGGAGACGATGACAGCAATAAACTTGTCATGCCGCAGGAGATTGTTGCCATGGAGATCACCGAACGACGGCCAGCCGGTCTAGAGCAAGTGCGTCAAGTTCAGAATTACATGGAAAAGATAGTGCGACCCTATTTGGCCAAACGAAATCACCTCAATGCGGACATCTGGATTCGGGGCTATGAGAGGAACCGCTTGAAGGTCTCCAACTACAATAGACGTTTTACTCAGCTGGCTCTGTTGAACCACATTGTCGGCATCCTACATGACAAGTCCCAGAAGACATACGAGCGACAGGTGAAGGCCAATGTGTTCCTCAAGGATCCAGAGTTCCTGCAACGCCGTGTGGCAGGACTTCAGGAGCGTGCGAAGGGTTTATTGAATGACTATGAGCAGAGATACTGCAAGGAGTGAGTTATAATGGGTTCTAGGCATACATCCATGTTAAATGACGAGTTTTTTTCTTGCCAGCAAATTGAACATCAAGCTTAATAGCATTATCCCAGTAATACTGAAGCAAATTCAAAACAAGGTCCAGCCGGAACAAAAAAGGGAGGTGACAGAGCCGCCACCAAAGTCAGCAGCCCAGAAGTCATCCAAACAGTGGAAGACCCTGGAAGACATGCAGCCTCCACCGCCGCCACCCAAATCTACATACGAGGACGAGCAGGACACGACACTGGCCAAGGTGGAGAAAATTCAAGCCTATGTTCTGGTATTGGTTTACGCTGAGATCGGTTAATGAACAATTGCTTTAAAATGGATTTAACTTCTCAGGATCTCTTGGCTAAGTTGGACCATGTAGAACCAAACAAGCTGCGTAGCGTGGAACAGCAGGTTCGCCGTCGCATGGCAGCGGAGAAGGAGATGTCTCGACGTGCATTGGTCAAACAGAATCGTCTTCACAACTGGATGGCTCACTTCAAGAAGCACCACCATCTGCAGGTGGAGCAACGATGGAAGAACAAGGTCTAGACTGGACAACAGCAAATCTTTAAAAGGATTCGATTCATCCCACTTCAGACTTGAATTTTATAAGAGTATGCATACCACATGTTTGAAAAAAGATTATAAAGGGCACATTAATAAATAAGAACGCTTCACTCACCTGACATCGCTGCCGGCAATTGCCAGATATGTTCCGCTCTGGTCGAAGCACAGATCCTTGACCTCGTAGCCGTCATCAAGCTGGATCGTCTTGAAATTCTTTAGCTTCCGCAAATCCCAGAGCTTGACACAGGCGTCATCTGCGGCGGTGGCCAGGTAATAACCGTTCTCCGAAAAGGAAATGGCCGAAATGGGACCGGTGTGGCCAGGGAAGTTGGCCACGTTGCTCTGCTCCTTCAGATCCCAGATCTTGACCTGGGAGTCCATGGTGCCCGTGCCGAAGATCAGACCATCGGGATGGAACTGCGCTGTTGTTAGACCAACCTCGGCGGTGTCGATTACCTTGGTGAGCAGGCGACCCGTGCGGATATCGGAGAATGCCCAGTGCTTGTCGGACGATGTGGATAACAAGTAGTCGCCAGTGGGATGCAGCGATAGTCCGGTCACGGGTCCTTCATGGCACCGCAGGAGCAGTTGGGTCTGCGAAGTAGGCACGTGCCAGATGCGGATGTTCATGTCGGGGGAGCCGGTAATGACCGTGTCCTCGTTCGGGTGATAGATGACTTTGGTAATCTTCTTGGTGTGCCCCTTCAGGATGGCCACCATCTGCTCGGTGTCCTTGTTAAACACGGTGGCGTTTTTGTCGTTGCCTCCGGTCAGGATCTTACTGTGATCGGCGCTGTTGATGTCCAGGGCCAGAATGCCGGGCACCGAGGCCGAGTGCAGGCCGGGATGTGAGGCGACGGTGAGGAAGCCCTTAACCTGATCTGTTGTGACCAGATCCTCGGGAACAGTGCGACCGCGCTTCTTGCGCTCCTGCGTCAGCACCGTGGCCTTATCCTGCAGCTTCTGTATGACCTCTGCGCTCATGCCAGCCTGTTCCATAGGATGGGCAGCGGAGCCACCAGCCTCGGAGGCCAATGCGGGCTGGGGAATCGACGTTGGGGCGTTGACAATGCCCGCCTGGGGTTTCAACGTGGCCAGAGCCTCGCGAGCGGCGGCCACTTCCTTGTTGAGACGGGCAATCACACGGCAGGCGGCATCGTGTTGGTAGAGGGCGTGGGACAACTCCTGGCGTGTCGTCTGCAGCTGCTGGCGCTGTGTGAACGAGTGGATCATCAGAGCGTCCCACTCGTCCTGCATCGTCTTCAAGGTGGCCGGAATGCTGGTGGCGCTCGGCGGCTTCGGTTTTACCACGGCCGGAGTCTTGATCTCGATCAGCTCCTCCGGCTTTAGCTCCTTTCCGCTGATTGGATCGCAGCCATTCTCCAGCAGGTACTTTTCAATCACTCGCTTCTCGAAGACGGCTCCCGAATGCGGAGACACCACGGGCGTCTCGGGGACTTCGTTTGTCACTGGAAGGAAAAGTGCGGTTGATATCAGACATTTTTCCGCCGCAAGCCAACTCGTTTACTTACGTGCGCAAACTAAAGCCATTGCTGTTTGTGTTTATATCGCTTTTCGCGTAGTCTAGTTGGTAAATTAAATGTTTTACACGTTTTTCCCGAGCCAAGCGCAAAATTGTCGGCAAAGCCGCTTCTTGTTATTATCCCAGTCACAGTGCCACGCGGGAGTTATCGAAAACGGGGCTGCCAGATGGGGTGGTTTTTGGATATTTACTTGCGAATGCCAAATATAGCTAGAGTAATTATAGAATTTTCCATATATTTAAATTTAATCAATTCAGTTTCATTAATTATTTAAAAAAAAATGTTAGGAAACCAAAATATTAGTTTAATAAATATAAAGTTTTTTGGTATCATGAAATCAATCGATTTTTTGAACACCTGGTTGGTTATGACCAACTGAAAAGGTCTACAGCTTTAAACAACTTAAAACAACTTAAAAAAAGGTTTTGCAATAATATTAGATGAAATGTACAACGATTTTCAATAATTATTATTTCCACACATTAATAGTACAATATAATTAATTTAAGTCAAAGTTAAGGCAAGTTTAGTTATGCAAATACTAAGGATTTTGTACAACAATAAAGGATAAAGGTATTCAATTTTAATAGAACACGGAAATTTACTGTAAAATAGCTGTAGAATACAAATTTAAGATTTATGATCATCAGCTGTTTACATGGTTTGGCAATCACAGCGAAACGCGAACACAATTTGCAGACGATGACAACCCTCGCATGTTGCGCTGTTTCTGTTATTTAATTCTCGACTTTAGCTTAGAAAAACGTTTAACTGCCATTCAGCTATTTAAATAAAATGCTAAAGCATCTTGCACGGTGGCGGCTGGGCAGCCAGCTCCTGAAGGGCAGTGCCACTCCAGTCAGACAAGCATCCAAATCCTCCAGCGATGGAAGCTCGTTAACCGGCACGGAGGATTCCCAAAATAAGCTTGTAAATCCCTTCTCTCAGCCCGCTCCAGTCATAAGTAATGATCAGATACCGGAGACGAAGGAGGATCGGGACAAGCGTCTGAAGGTGCTGCAGCTGGAGGCGGACATTGCCCACCAGGAGGGACGCCGCGTGCCGGCGTTTGAATTCTTCCAGGATCACCACTGGGAGCACGTGCTGACCCTTCCAACGAAATCGGCTCGCATCAAGTACTTTGCCTTTCTCTGGCAGATTGAGATGAAGAAGCAGTCAGAGCAGCGCAAGAAGGCTCAGAGGGCGGAGGACACTGAACGGCGGATAGCGGAGATGCGGAAGGAGCGCGAGGAGAACACGCACATCATCTACGGCCTGGGACACACGTCCATGTTCCTGCGCATCTACGACACCACCATTAATCACTGGCAGAACAACCGGCTCACACGCGCCATGCAGTTCGCACCCAAAATGGTGCTGGATTGCTCCTACGACGAGCACATGAACAACCGGGAGGCTTCCTACGCAGCCAAACAGCTTATGCTCTGCTTCGCGGAGAATCGGCTGAACGACGAACCCTTCGACCTGCATTACTGCAACGCCCAGATGGACAGCAGGTGCATGCAGAGTCTCCAGCGCTACATCCCCACCATGCATAACCCAGAGTTCCCCATTAACGTGCATCCCCAGTGCTTTACGGAGCTGTTTCCCAAAAAGAATCTGGTCTACCTAACGCCTCACTGCCGCGAGGATCTGGTCACCTACAATCCAGACGATATCTACGTGGTCGGTGCCATGGTGGATACAATGAACAATGAGCCTCTGTCGTTGGCCAAGGCCAAACGATTGGGTCTGCGAATGGCGAGACTGCCATTGGATCGCTACCTTCAATGGGGATCTGGTTCGGGAAAGTCGCTTACTCTCAACCAGATGATCAACATCATGCTGGACCTCAAGAAAACCGGCGACTGGAATGCAGCCCTGAAGCATGTGCCCCGGCGAAAGGTGGTTGAAAATGAATTCCAGCACCGCAGGGAGAAGGATCCCTGGAGCACGGGCACGCGGGCCAGGAAGCTCAACATGCGAATCGATCATCTGCTGGACTTTGAGGAGGATCGCCGGCAGACTACCTCGTTTGCAACGCCTCAAAAGGTCAGGCAGCGACGGGAGGGCATGGAGTTCCAGCTGGACACTTGGGCCACGGGGAAGCAGAAGAAAAAACAGAGACAAAATTAAAGATACCTGTTGTTGTATTCATTAAATTGTACATTTATTTAGTTCAGACTGTGGAAAGTGTTCTTTGGCTGGAGCGGACCTTCTGCCTCTACCTCCTTTTTAATCGCAGCAACAGTCTGATTCCCTGACGGAATCTCTTCAATTACTAGGCCAGAATACTCTTCAGAAAGACCACCATCTGAGTCGCCTTCAACTATTGGAACACTTTCCGGCTCAGCGTCCTCATCTTCTGGTTCATCTTTATCAGTCTTCTTGTACTTGAGCCACATATTTTTCACATTGATGGCCTGATAGTTGATCGCCGCTTTGAGGCCGGCCTGCTTCATCAGTTCCTTTGCCTTAGTCTCGAACTCCTGCACATGATCTTTGCGCTCCACGGTCATAAGCTTGGTCTCTAGGATGAAAAGAGCCGGCGTGCGCAGAGACTTGAAGAAGTCCTTGCTTAGGAAAGAGTAATAGTTATAGGCCATAAAAGCGACGTCGAACATGTTGTTCCAGCGATCTGCGCCCTGCTGCAGCTGGACCATCTCCAAAGGCGACACATAGTGCACGGTTACCCCGGGCACCGGGATCCAGGGCTTGTCGTAGGATGCCTGCCCTGCTGCATCCACTTCCTGGTGATTGAGCAACGGTGTCATCAGCAGCTGGACGGAACCATACCTTCGGGAGCGCATTGGATCATGCTCGTAGGCGGTCTGGGTCTGCAGCTCATGGAAAAGTTCCAGGAGATTGCGTTCGGTTATGTCAGTAGCACGATAGTCATTGTCCCCATGCACCGAGTGAAGCATTCGCTCCTCGGAGGTACGCAGCCCAAAGCCACAGAAGGGCCCTGTTTGGATATCGCCCACGTAACCACGATGTAGGAAGGTGCGTCCGTTTCGGACCAAACCAGCAGCCAGGGTCTTGTTGGGCTTACATTGCTCATACTCGGGAAAAACAAAAGCCACACCAGACTCTCGCCAGTATCGGTACTCCTGCGAGCAAATCTGTTGTCCTCCACGATCTTTTAGGGTCATGCTCAAGTCCCAGTCAAAGGCCCCGTTTCGGTGATCGTAACGAGTTCCTAAAAGGGTCCTCGACCGCTGTTCCCAGTATTTGGTCACCTCGAATACATTCCATGGATGCGGCTGCCAGAAACTGAAGGCCATTTCCAACCCGTCACGCTCTTTGTACTTTAGGCCTTCTATATCCAGCATGGGAGCCAAACGCTGCATTTTGACCTCATCGGTGACCATTTGGAGCAGTGTGCGCCCCTTGGCGGCCATGTAGTGGTGCGAGCTGGGACGGATTACAGCATTCCCATAGAGATCTATAAACAAATGCACTTTGCACACCAGGCTAAAGGACTCTGGATCCTCAAGGGCTATGCCCAGGAGCAACATATTCCTGGCTGCAATCTCGGCGCAACCATCCAGCACGTATATTCTGAGTTTGGGGCGAATGCGATGGGTGTACCTCTTCGCCAGGGTCTTGATCACATGACGCGGATCAGCTCCGCCGCAGATAAGGATGTTTATGGAGTTCTGGGGACCATCCCCACCAGCTCCTTCTGCTTCCTCGCGTGAATCTCCATCCACCGTCAGCGGATCATCGTTGATCTTGAAGGCCTTCAGGTACTCCTCGTACAAATCCAACGCCGAACTGAGTCCCCACAACATCTTGTCCTTGTTTGGTTTTAAATTTTATTTTTAGCTCGGATCCGTTGGGACTTGTTTGGCTATGCTCGCCTAGTCTGTGCTCTATTACTGCTGCCATTTGATTGATGGCAGTTGCCAGGACTACTTGTTGTCGCCGTTGTCCCGGCAACGTCTTGCTCCTGCCTCGGCTCCTCATTTGCGTGCATCCGTTGCGGGGATTAGGGAGCTGTGGCAATCATAACGGAAATTGCTTTTCGATATCAGTGGCTTGCAGCGGCTGCTGGACAAATGGCTCGTCCTGGAGGGATGTGCTGCTATAAACTACCCCGTGGAGGGGGCGAAGTGGAGGGGATGTGGCGCATAATGCATTATTCAGACTTGGCTGTTTGCTTTCAGCTGATTGGCAAGGAGAGCAGCGGCAAGTCTATTGGGGATTGCTCTTGGATTCATAATTGTACATTTTCTTAAAGGAAGTGGAATGCCTTGGGGGGGTTGCTAGAGAAGATTTTAGGGAAGTGAGTTAATGGAAATTTTAAAATTAAAATTAAACAGTTGATGTTATTTGAAGTCTTCATTTAGATTTCTTTCTTCTAGATCCACTTTTAAAATTTTTCATTGTAAAATACGATTTTCCAGTGAATGGTTTTACATTATTTATTAGATCTAACCATTATTAAATATGATCTAATTTTCCGTTAGAATAAAAACTATTTTACTACCAAATATAAAGTGGTATGTTGGCATTTTTCCGCTTTCTCTTTTTTTCCTCGCTTAACGCGAACTAAATCCAAAGCGACGGGCTTTTTTAATGTTTGCTTGCGGGAAATTCATTGTTGGTCGAATGGATTTAAAGCCCGCGGCAAGTGGCTCACTTAATCCAGATACTTTGTGTGCGCTGTGCTAGTTTTTTATTCATCCTCAATTTGGTTTTTCGTGTCTTACTTTCTCTTAGTAACTTTCACATGACAATGTCAAAAAGTTCTTAATACATGGTTTAGTCTTCGCCATAAAGTTTCTCGTCTGTTCGGAATGCCTTTCAAATGCTTCTCCGTTTTTCTCGTTTACGCTGCGTATGCGTGATTTGGCGATGATGGCAGATAAAGACCAGCTATTCTGTCTAAGGGAAAGCTTTAAAGAGTACACTGAATTGAAAATAATATTAAAGTAGTAGATTAAAATTAAAATTAAAATTTTAAATTTAATAAATACTTGTTTAGAAAAATAGGTAACAAGCATTTTAATTTATGAACTGGAAATGATATTAACTTAAGTATTTTTTTAATATTATATAAAATCAAAAACGTTAAAAAAATCTATATAAAATTTTTTTTTAAATATATTGTTAAGCATTGTTTACACACGATACAAATGCAAATCTTAATTCAATAACCTATCAAATGTTAAATTATTTTTTTATTAATACAGACCCATATGCCAACTTAATGACGTTCCTTTGACATGCTTTTTAAGAACTTGAGATATTTTTGTCGTATGTCGGGAACATAAGGACGAGGTAAATGCACATTAGAAGCGTCCTGAGCTTTGTGTTAAGCTGCAATTATGCGGCCCCACAGCAAGAAAAATCCATTGAGATGAACAAGTATGGTGAAGAGGCATTTTTTCCATTCTTTGGCAGCGTTGGCACTTTTAAGATTTTCGTTTTTGACAGAAAATTTCCCGGAAATGCCAGAACAGAGTGTTCGGATTCCCTCTAAGGTCGTAGTGGAGCATCCACTCGATTTGTCTGCGGTTCGGTGGGCTTAATTCATCAGTGCTCTGCCCTTTCCCGGCTTTCCCATGGCCTTTTGTCCTTGCCGAAAAACAAAAGTAATTAGAGACCAATCCCGAAAAGGGTTGACCAAGGCTCAGCAGTTTTTTTCCCACATCTTGGTAGCTCATTAAACGAGTGCCTGCGAATCGATCAAGAAACCCATGTATGAGTCCTCCTCTATGGTGGATCTGTGTCGGGGGCTGTGGACCTGACCCACATACATATTTTCGCTCTTATCAGGAGCATTCATTGTCAATGCTTTCCGCAAACTTTTCTCATTAGACAGTGCAAACAAAATGGCTGCGTCTGCGGTTTTGCCCGCCCAACGACCCACCCACTTTGCGAATGGCTGCTGATGTGGACGCTTTTGCACTGGGTTGACATTGGCTTGGCAAATGGTGTCATAATGGCCGGAGAACTGAATACAAACAATAGCTGCCGACAGCGCACAGATGGGCCGAATAATGAAGAGTGCTGGCTGTAAGCCATGCACAATGGAAACAGGCGAAAACCGAATTAATTGTTGCCAACTCGATGCATGTGACTACGGCTGAACATAAGAAATAATTAAAGAAAATCGATGAAAACTATGGACTGCCCTTGTTTGACGTTCTGCATTAAATTTTATACTTTTACACGTTAAATGTCAATATTTAAGTTAGATGAAAGTCTTAAAAAATTGCAATGTTTTCTATTATTATGAAAAAGATCTTAAAATTCCTTTGTCATCTATGATTTTGTAAATTATGTTATGTTATTAGTAAACGATCCAAGTACATAAATTCTTCTAAATAAATAGCGTTTCATCTAGAGGTTTTAGGGATATTCAGGACTGACTTTAGTCATTAAAATTAGTTAAACAGTTGCTCTAAAAAAATGTTGAGCACAAAATTTCAGTTAATTTAAAATTGAATTTTCGTTTTGAAGGTTAGAAAATAGTTTAAGAAAATCTTATTGTCATTGTTAAATTTATTTTAAGACAACTTATGAATAATTAAATATTTTGTTAAAAACAATCTTTACAAAAAATGATAATTCATTCCCCTGATTTTTAATTGATAGATAAAATATGTTTACTACAAGAATTTGAGGTCCTTGTGGCCTTTATTTAATAAGTACTTTAGTTGTTAGGATGAGTTTTAAAAACTTTTCTAAGAGCTGGAAAAAAATGTAGATCATTAAAAATACGGCTCCTGCTGTTCTCCAGTAAAGTTGAGTTTAATTTCGATTTAATAGACATAGACAAGGTGTACATTTATCAGTATTTATTAGGCATCGCTATCCGATTCGGTTGCCGTCCCCGCTTCCAGATGCATAGTTCCTCGGGAGATGCTCTTGGTGGCTCAGCTACAGAGTGGTGGACACTACACTACGCTACATAGACGTTAATTGCTTAGTTTAACAAAGTTTCACTTGTGGCATGCATAGAAATATCCAGTGTAGAAATATGCGTTTGTCGTTCTCAGTGTAGAGTTGCTTTCTAGGTTGCTTCTGTGTGGTTTTTCGTTCCAGGCTAGAACCTCTGATTGTCAGAAAGTTATTGAAGTTATATCCGAGGGAAGTGCAAGCCCAGGACTCGAAAAAGTGCTATTCGAACTGAGGTCGAGGTAATACTAATTCTACAGCGAACATGGGAGCTTAATATATACATTTGCTTAGCTCTATAATTATCCATCAATGTTTTCAGTGTGTCTTTGTGCTTGTTTGAGTGTGGCTTAGTTTCTTTCTTGTGTTTCACTTGTGTTTTTAAGCATAGTTACGCTTTTTACCCCTTCAGAGAGATCTTTTTGCATTTCTCATTTGAACAGATTCTAAGTTATTGCGTTATTGCGTCAATACAATCAACATTTAGCTCGGGTTTGGTAGGTACATAAAACACTCTACAGCAATAAAATGTCTAAATTGGCTCACTTAACGCTATAATTCCTACAAAGTCTGAGACGGTGGTTTATCAGATTTAACTATGTTATTTTCATTTTGTTTTTGTTTTGGTTTTACATCTACGTAATAGATATAGTAGAGAAATGGGAGATGGGTTATGTGTTACGCTCGTCTGCCCACTTATTGCTTGCCATTTTGGATAAGTACTCCATTCAATTGCCGCCTCAGGACTTATCCCTTGTGGTATCCTCCTCCTCCTGAAGCGAAATGATCTGCGTAAATCGACAACAAATTCGGAATGTTCTTTACAATGTCTTGGATTACTGGCATTGTGTCTAGACTGACATGCCCAACACCGAATTACTTGCTGGCATCTACGCATCTTGCCAAATAAACGTTACTTGCACGAGACATCAAAGCAAAGGGCTTTCGCTGCGGCCAAATTGGCCAAAATAAGATGGTTAAGCTCTATGAACTGGCTCTAGTGGTTCGGCTAAGGGATATGTGTATCTATTTTGGTACCTGCTAGCATACTTACTTGATATCATCCAGCTGGCCAGCTGTGCAGTGGTTGCTTTTCGGTTATATTTTATGCTATTTTACGAGTACTCTATATAAACTGTGTAGAATTCTCAAAAGTTGTCCTATTTTCAGCATTTGCATTTGAGGTATGCCCGTATTATTTGAAAGGTAAGTGTGTCTCTATTCCCTAGTAATAACACTGTGATATCTTATCCTAATTGCCTAGCCCCACTGAAAGAAATCGTCGAAGTCATCTAAAAAATAAAGTTTTACCGAAATTAGCCAGATTGGGTTAGTCAATTTTGGGGTGCCGTTCTGTGGTGGGTTCTTGCAAAGTGCTCAATACGGTGAACTAGCTGCGATTTTGATTTGGAAACACTGGAGATAACATGCCAATCGAGTGGGGAAAACTTAGCTAATGGTTCTTATACTTCTTTGATTTTTTCTGGGTTGGTTATTATATTTATTTTGTATTTAGTATTTAGTTTTCACGCCGCCGTTGCTACTGTTCCGGTTGCAGTTGTTTATGGGAGCAGTGAGCTGCGGGAACTGGTTTTCGAACTGTGGGCGGTGGCTGTTGGTTGTGGTGGTGGTGGTGGTTCATTCGGAGTGGTTCGGAGTGGTTCGGATAATTGGAATGGAAGATGGGAACTTCATTTTCATATTTCAAATTGCATTTTTCAGTTTTGGGTTAGCGGCAGAACTGTGACCAAACTGGACAACAACTTTAAAACGGAACGAGTACTTAAATATGCAGGAAGATATAAGTATATAGTATATACACATCGAGAGAGCGTAAAACGGTATAAAATCGAGAGGAGTCGAAAGTTGAAACACATATACTTAGAGAACGAAAGCGGATATAACACTCTTATAGTACACTTATGGATATGGTACATGGGCACAAGTTCCGTCTTGGTTTCCGGGTCTTCCATATTGGGTTTTCTTGACTGATAGCAAAACATGCCGAAAGGGATGGATGAACATAACGAAGAGCTTGGAGAACGAGCTGCTTACCTCAGTTGACTTGGTAAAAAAAATGGGAATGGGGTGTACCACCCACAAGTCCCTGACCCCATTCGGTGCCATTCGATTCCGCTCGTCCGAAATTGATTGCTTTTAATTCGCTCAATTCATTACCCAGCCAGCGATGCGCTGGTCTCTTGTTTGCTTATCGAGTTAATCGCGTTGCGAATTTATTGATTGCAATTTTATGCATTGGCCGGTGCGAAATGAGCACGACCACCGGTCGGATGGGCACTTAATATTCATGACTCGAAAGCCATTACAGTCGAAAACGCGCGGAGTTGGCTTGTCATTACCTGGGGTAGAACTAATTATAATTAACAATGGAAAATGGCATCCACACTCTCATTACAGCGGTTTCACATATATCCCGGTGGCCATTAAACTTTAAATCTACGGGCTTCTTTACAAGTTTGGTAGAGGGATTGCATATTAAACTTAATGGTCAGACAGTTAAAAAAATTGCTTGCTTTGTTTTTACATATTTATATGGTTGGTATGAAGAAAAAAAGTTTTTTTGGTTGAGGATTTTATCTAATCTTTTAAATGAGCTCCGAATGAATGATTAAAAGTATTAATTTCTTGAACTTTGATTTTGAAAACCTACTATAAAATTCATTAATGGATTTAATGGAAAATCCTAGTGGCCTAGATTTTATAAAAATCATTTCAATAGAACCTTTTTTCGGTCTTTGTTTTTTGGACTGTACTCACCTGGTCGCAGTTTCCGGATTATTTGACCATAGATAATTGGGTGTAATTGAACAGGCAATCAAAATAAAACGAAATAAACCTTGTGGAAATTTATTAAAATAAATACGTTAAAGTTGACTAATGGCGAACCACTACTACGGATGCCCAGAACTACGTAAAGAGAGTGGCAAAAAGGGTGCTGGAGAACGGAAGTGGTGCAGATTGGTGGTGTGGCGGTTCGATTCGGTCGGTGGTTGGGTGGGTCACTGCTGCCTGTCATTGGGCCACGCAGTCATTGCAGTTGGCCGTGTGATCGGGGGTGCTGTTATTCGAATGGGAAATGCCGGTTTCCCGAAGTGGGTGTGGGTGACTGGACTCGGATCGGCTAGCCTTGTGGCGCAGAAGGTGCCAGTGGCGCTGCCAGTAGTTGGCATTCTTGGCCAGCAGCTGTTCGCTGCCAGCCACCTCGATGTGGCCCACGGAGGCCCTGCTCGTCTGCGGATGCAGGATGAGATCCGTGCGCAGCTGCTGCACACGGCGGACATCGTAGTTCTCCACCACAATGATGGGCGTGGGCCGGAGTCGCTCGGGCGGATTGAGACGGATGTTCGGCTGCAGGGAATGGCAGTTCCGCTGGCTGCGACGCCAAATTCGAGACTTAAGGCTGGGCCAATGGAGAAACTGCCTCAGGGAGATCCTCTGAGGTGACTCTGGGGCGGGGGGTGGCGCCACCAGGAGATCCCTGACCAGGTCAGGAGCGACCACCCCATCAGCCGTACACTGTCCGGCTGTCCGGTCGTGGGAGTGGGTGTGGATGTGGGTGTGGGTGTGGGTGTCCAGCCGCAGCCTGCTGCTGTCCTGCGAGTTCTGTGGCGGTGGTGTGCTCACATAGAACTTGGATCGTCGGGGTGTTCGGACCCGCAGACTGTTGGTCTTCCATGCATCGTGCAGGGATCGGAGGCCGGGCAAACGTGCAAGGTGGTGGATGTTATCGTAGGAGGCGGACAACATACCTGCTCGCTCGTCCTGGTACTCGTCGTCGTCCGACGACTCCAGACGGTCCTCCACCAGCGAGGTTTGCCTCGAGAGACCCTGTTAAACGGGCACAGATTGCAGGTTGCACATTGCAGGTTGCACATTGCATGTTGCAGGTTGCATGTTGCACATATCACATAGTGTTTAAGCAAACAGAGATGAAGCGAAATGAAACGAAAAGAAGACGAAACGAAAACCATAATTGTGAGCGCATCTACTACGAGTACCAAAGGATTACACACACTAAAGCCAACTGCAGCTAAGGTCCTTCCATGTCCTTCATCCGAAAGAGAGTTCGTGAGGCTATCATGGAGGCCTTGGACTTACCGCATTGTGACGCCTTCTGGGCGGCGATCGCTTGTTCCACAGCGCCTCCAGCTGGTCAAAGTGCTGCGATTGGGCCAGAGCCGCCTGCTCCGGACCCAGATTCGCCTGGGAGGCTCCGGTCTTCGTCTCGGCGATCTTCGAGATCTCCTCCATGCTGGCCGAAACGCTGAAGCGCCGCTTAAGGCGCTCATCCACCTGGGCCATCATCACGGAGGAGGTTAGGTGGCCGTACTTCTTCTGCCAGGTGTACGTGTCCAGGGAGACCTCCTTCTTCAGCAGCCGCTTCATCTGGCGCTTGGGGCCCTGGGGTCGCAGATCTGCAAGGATAGTCGGGATATAACCGGATTGAGGTATAAGGTTAAAGATTTCTCTGGTGGCTATGATATGATATACCCTCTACATCCTTGCTGGGACCGGAATACGTGGGCAGCTTGACATACTGCGCCGGAGTGTTATGCAGACAGATCACGGGCAGATTGTAGCTGTCCACCAGCTGCACCAGGACTCGGGAGACCTCCAGACTGATGTCAAAGTGGGTGAAGGGCACGTGCATTTGGAGCGAGGTGAGAGCCAACCCGCGCTTGGTCTCCCACACGATCAGGGTCTTGTCATCGCTTCCAGAAACTGCCGTGGATCCTATTTTAAAATAAAAGCTTTAGATAAGCTTAAAAATATTTACAGAGCTAAAGGGGCTAACACATAGTAAGGATAATTTAACCTATAAAATACCTCACCGTAAGGATAAAATTAAATAATATTTTTATGTAAATATAAAATAGGAAGAATGGACCTGACTCAAGCAATATTGTCAAACATATTTTTTTTGAGCCAATATTTATTTATGTCACTTTGAAATATTAACTTGTAGGATACGTTTATAGATACATAAAAATGATTATCCAATGTTAGTTCATCTTACAATATATAAAGCTGTGGGCTTGCTCATTAGGAATCTTAATCAACAACGTGATGGACATTTTAAAAATTATTTTTGGATACTTTTATAGGGAAGACGTTTCCTCATAGACAAATAACTATTTTAATTGTCATTATACAAATAAACCCAATTTTCTTAACACGTAAACGTAACTATTAAACTATTTAATAGTAACCAAGCAAAAATAAATAAATAAAGTTTTATTTTTAATAGTAATAAAATAATCTGCATTTGTGAAATTAAACATAATTTTTGGTTTTGCAGGATTTTTTTCTTAATGAGCTCAACTCACCATCTGCCGAGACTTTAACTCCAATCACTGGGCCCAAATGCCCTGCCAGCGTGTGAACCTCCTCGCCGGTGAGCAGGTCCCAGAGGATGAGATTCATGTCCTTGGAGCCGGACAGGACCTGGGTCTTGTTGCTCACCGAAACGGCCACGCAGGTGACCGCATCGCTGTGCCCCACCAGCACCTGGCTGAGCTTGCCGCCCGTCGCCTGCCACACCTTCAGAGACATGTCCCGCGATCCGCTGATGATGTGGGCACTATCCGCAGTGATCTCGAAGCAGGTGATCTCGTCCGAGTGCGAAACGGAGTACTTCTCGTCCTCCTGCGTCAGGGACCAGATCTTGAGGGTGTTATCCCCGTTGGTGGAGGCGGCGAAGCGCATGTTGTTGGTTACGGCCAGACTCTTGTAGGGACCCTGGATGGTCTGCAGCAGATTGCCCGAGTGGGCCATCCAGACGAGGAGCAGGGAATCCCGATCCGTGGAGATAACCCGCAGAGAGTCCATCAGGACCACCACCTTGACCACTGGTGCAGCGTGGCCCTTGAAGGTATGACTTATCTCGCCCAGAGACAGATTCCAAATGAGCACCAATCGATCCTCGGAGCCGGTGGCCAGGAACTCACCATTCGGGGCGAACTTTAGGCAAGAGACCCCGGCGGAATGCCCCTCCAGGGTGCACTGGAACTCGGGCGTATTGATCCGCATGAGGTGGACATTCCGGCCGGAGGCGATGGCCATTTGCTGGGAGTCGCGGGACAGGTCGAAGCAGGTGATCGGGGGCAAAGTGGTCGACGGCGATCGCTGCGCCTGCGCATGGCGCTTCAGGCTGCGCTTGCGGCGCGGATGTCGCGAGTAGGGATTTACGTAGAGCTCCTCGTTGCGGAATGAGTAGAAGGTGATCTTGTTGCCGCCCACGGTGACCAGGAAGTCGTCATTGTCCATCGCATGCACGGCGGTCACTGGACCAGGATTCGGAGGCAGGGATCTGACCAGTTTCCCGGCGTGCATGTCGTAGATCAGAGCCCGCGTATCATCGCAACCAACCACACATCGCTGGCTGTCCTTGCCGATGCAGATGGTACGGATCTGAGGGTTCCAAACCGGGGATTAGTATCCAGCAAGGGGGTGGGACCCAACTCACCTTCGACTTGTGTCCTTTGAGAGTGTGCAGCTCCTTGCCAGTGGCCATAGTGCGAACGTAGAGCGCATTGTCCTCACACAAAGCCAACAAAAAGACCTGAAATCAAACGAAATGGTATTGTATAGGATTTTCAGTTAGAATTAAGCTATATTTAATTGGATTAACAAAAGGACTATTTGAAAATATTTAAAATTAATCTTTAAATTTGTAAAATACATATATAGCATGGGACCTATTTTCATTTCAATCAATTTATTTGTATATATATATTATTTTATTTACTTGGCATTGCCAATATGGGAACTAAGAGGCTTACATAATAGTAATTAAATTATTTAAGCAATTAAATCATACAAAATATTATTTATTTATTTGGTTTATTGATGTGGCAATTCAAATGTTAGGAATAAAACCGAATAAATAAATTATATTAGTAATTTATAAACAAAGTTCACAAAGAACTAAGAGGATAACTATTTAAAAAATATTAATTTTAATTATTTAAGCAATTAAATTAAACAAAACCATTATTTATTTATTTGGTTTATTAACTTGGTAATGCTAATATATTTTTTTAAGGAATCAACCTGAACAAATAAATAATATTGGTAATTTAAAAACAAAGTTCACAAAGAACTAAGAGGATTACATTTTACAAAATATTAATTTTCATTATTCAAGCAATTAAAAACCATTATTAAATTATTTGGTTTATTCATTTCGCAATGCAAGTATAATATTTTAAGGAATCAAACCGAACAAATAAATAATATTGGTAATTTAAAAACAAAGTTCACACACATTGCTTTTCCTCGGAACTTTACATTTATGAATGAAAAATTCCTGCTGGGAATGGAATGATGATTAATATATTTTCCGCCATTCAGAGCGATTAATTATTAATTTTCCTCATAATTGTGGGTCGAATTCGCTGACATTGAGGACCGTTGGCGAGGTAATCGAAAATTAATAAATTGCATTTCGCCACCGAGGAGGCAGAGGCTGAAACATTTCAATTTGAGGGCAGCTCACAGGAAGCCTTTCCCCGGGGGAGGGGGGCGTGGCAGGTCACTGCCGTGCCACGAAGCCATCAGGATGCAGGCCAAAGAGCAAGAAAGTGGATTGCCTTTGCCATTTTCCTTGGCCAAGAATCCGGCCCAAGGGGCTGCTTCCCACAAACCTGAGTGTTCGTCTATATGTAGGGAATATGTATGCATGTATTCATGGCTGTGTGAAATTACATTTCAATTTTGGAAAGAGGGAAGAGTCCCGCCCAGCCGGATATGTCCTTGTTATCGCGAAACAATTTTTCCGCCTGCTTATAGGCAATTTTCCCTCAATTTTCGCCAGCACTTTTGTTTAATGTGTGAAATTGTATTTTCGGTGGCGGCAAAGGACATCACGAGTTTTGGTTCTGAAGGAGCCCACCAACGGCCAATGGTAATTGAATAGCTCTCCTGTTATATTTTCTTTCTACTTTGTCTCTGGCTTTTCAGTTTTCTTCAGTTGAAATGTGATTTGGAGAGGCACTTGGAAAAAAGTATACCTGAATTTTAAACTATTATTTTTTGTCTATGTTAGATGATAAAAATTATATTAATGCTGAACTTATTTTAACAATTTAAACTATATTTGTAGGTAACTTTAATTTAGAACGATTGCGTTCTAAGGTTGTTATTGTTGTCAACTTTATAAGTATGCTTTCAGAAAATTACATAATATAACAAGTTAAGGTACAAAATTCTAGATAGAGGATATAGTTATTATTTGGAAGAAGAATTTGTTAAAAAAAAAAATAGTTAGATGAGTAATTTTTAGAACGATTGCGTTATAAGGAAGTTATTGTTGTCAGCTTTATAAGTATGCTTTCAGAAAATTACATAGTATATCAAGTTGAGATACAAAGTTCCAGATGGATGATAACGTTATTATTTGGAAACTTACTTAAATGTTCAAGAAAATAAAATAGTAAGATGAGTATAAAATAGAACAATCCTTAAAGATGATTAATGATGATAGTATCTTGGCAGCTAGCTAAATATGCCTAAAGGAAACAGCATACTAATATAAATTATGTTAAAAAACTCAAGAAGATGATAAGATTGAAATCAAAACCTAGGGTAAATTCCTAGTTCTACACGTAGTATTTTTAAGTGCACAAGCTGCTGCCTTGTTTGTGTTATCCGAGGAGATTTCCTGGATCCCGGGGCTGCAGGCCCGACGCACCTTGAATTACAGTGGCTTTTTCCTGTTGTCTGTCTATTGTGGATTTGCTGGAGCGAACCAGATAGATGAGGAGCGCTTAAGGAGCGAGAAGCAAGTGGAAGCACGCATCAATTGCCAGCCGTTGGGATCAGATGGGAATGGGATTGAGGACGGGGATGGGGATGGGGACAAGATGAGATGGGGACCCAGAGCACAGTTGCCATTGACAAAGGACGTCAAAGTCGGGGAGTCGGGAGGAGAGGTGCAGGAGTTCCCCGCCGGTATCTTGATATTATTTTGCTTGCCAAATTGCTGCTAAGTATGCAATACTTATTGATAGAGGCAGGCACGAACCCACACATACACACATCTGGTTTTTTGTCAAGCTGATTGACAACAAAGGATTTGGAGCGTATTACGTATCACTTATTAGAATTTCCCCAAAAGTGAGCCCCCCGAAGTTGCCAAGTCACCCAGCTTTATCTGTCATATCTCGGCGAATCTATTCGCTCGTCCATCTATTGTGTTTCGCTTTAAACTTCCAGGATTTCTGTTACTTTTTTTTTTACCCATGTCGTTTCTTAAATTGCGCTTTTCGTTATTGGGTTACTTGGGACGCTTCACTCAAGTGGAATATGGCTTAAAGCTTGGCATTCTCTTTTTCTTTTCGTTTTTTATTATATTCTTTCCGTCTCGAACGCAGGAATTTCTTTTAAAGCTTTGCAGCTGAGCATGATGAGCAGGGAAATCCCCTTAAGGACTCAACTTTTGTCTTTGCCAGAAGTTTGTTTCGTTAAATTTGAAAAAGCCACATAAAGTTTGAGGCGTGAGTTTTTGTGGAGAATTCGCTAAGGCGGCACTGGTCGGGTTTAAGCTCAGAAGAATTCTTCTTTGCCCATTTATTGTGGTTAAACTCACCGAGTTCCAGGAGATATCGATGCGTAGCACGGGACTCGTCATATGCATGGTGTTCAGCAGGGCGAAGTTATCCAGGTCCCAAACGCAGATGTTCTTGTCGTGGCTGCCCGAGATCAGGACATCGCAAGCTCCGGCCACCAGGATCCCAGTCACCGGCCCGCGGTGATGGGTGATGCGATGTCGCTGAAAGGGAAAGATACTCATTAGGCTTATAAATGGATTGGCAGTTCAGGAGATAACTAATTGGAATTTTAATTGGCATTACCAAGGGCTCTAACCACACCCGCATTATTTAACCTTAGGCTAATCGCAAATACCCACAAACATTGGATCCCGGGGGATATGGGGGATAGACCCCCCACTTGGGTTAAAAAGTATATTTAATATTTATTTTATTTCAAAATGTTTGATTTCTACTAAACAAGTTGTTTGTATATCCCCCACAAACCATAAATTGTGGATCCGCCAGTGGAAGCACATAACTATATTTTGCTTGATATGAATTTTCCATTTAAAACAATGTGTACTAAAAAAATATGAATCAGCATTTCAAAAGCCCATTTAATTGCAACTTGTATCGCCATTAACAGATGTTGTAGAAATACCCGAATTATTGTTTAGAAACACACATGTTCCTGCTCGTATTTTGTGTAATTTTGTGTAATTTTCCCCTTAAAACAGTGTAGGATACATAAATATGAATTGTCATTTGTAAAGGTTATTTAATTGGAATTTTATCGGCATTAACAGAGAGATATTTGATCTAATAAATAAATGAATTTAAGTTTGACAAATAAAATGGAATCTAATATAAATAAATGGGCTAAAGTTTGATAAACAAAGGGGAGTATCATATATGTTACAAAACTGAAACCAAATGCTTAACAGTCCCCAGAGACTCTCGAGGGACCTTTGTCCTCCCTCTACGTAAACCATTTGATTCCGAAAAGGACAGCCGTTTTATCATCCATGCTCATCGAACGCCTTTCGGTCCTAATGCCAACTAAACGAAGGGATTTTAAATATTAATCACTGCTAGTGGAGGGGCAGCCCTGTTGCCAACCGACTTCGACTTGGCTTGCGTGTCCCATGTGCCACCCGCAGTTCCGCCGTAACCTCCGGTCCCTCGTCCTGCCCTTTGTTTGTCACATTTCGTATGCATTAAGTTAATTACCACCTAGCATGCGAGTTTCCCTTCCCAGGAAGCGGCGATGGAAAATGCCAAAAGTTTGATAAATTACACGGACTCGAAGAAAAAAGAACACCAGGAGTCGGTGGCGACGTGAATGAAATTGCCGGCATGACACGGCGTATACGTAATATTATAATTAATTCAATAAGTGCGCGTAATTACAGGTGTGTGTGTGCGAGAGTATGTGGGCCACTTCCGGTTGTTAAAGAAGGGGATTGCAGTTTTCTAGGCCAGCGCAAAAATTGCCAAGGGCTTGCAGCAGCCGAGTCAGCGGAATTGACTTTAAAATATGCCCGGGGCCAACCGAGTGGCAATAAATCTAATTTCTATATGTGTGTCAACAGGAGGACGCCAAGGACGAGAACAAGGACACGGTGTTTCCCCCCCCCCAGACCAACGCACACACACACACTCGGCTGATATGCAAGGCGCATTGTGGGTAATCACAGTTTAATGTGTGCGTCTCTGAAATATCAACTTAGTATGACTTATGGCGGGGTGGATATGGTGAATGCTGAATGGAAAGTGGAGAAAGTGGGGCAGGGACCACCGGCAAGCTCCTGCCACGGTTCATTTGCCAGGCCCGCGGAATATGTAAACCCATGTTCAACGAGCAGCACACACATGTCAGCCAGCTGGCAACAATCCTTCCCCTTGAAAGAGCCTCCCCCAAACCCACTTAAACCAACCCACTCCCCCAATGACCTTGCCTTCTGTTTGATGAAAGGCGGTGGCATAGTTTCGCGGAATTTATTTGGACCACTGAAATTATGCAAATGCATTCGGACTGTTTGATCTGGCTTGCGGCAAGGTTTTGCAATTAGCTTCGGTAAATGCATTTTTCTCTGCCCCCGAAATGAAAAGCATTCGATGCACTTCCAATGGGAATTCAAAAATAATTTATTAAACCAAACAAAGAGTTGTTTGATTTTCATTTACAAGGCACCAACTAATCGATTCCAATTACTGGAAATTGAAATAAATGTGTAAAATTGAAAGATGTTAATTAAAGTTCTTCGCCAGCGTTTGTCGGTAAATTGCTATGTCATGGAGTACGAGTATACTAAAGTTATCAAACAAATTGCTCAAATTGCCTAGGACAAACAAAAGAGGCAAAAACATTTCGGCCAAGACAATAGGGCTGTCTTTTTGATTGTCTGAATTCGGACATTTGTACAAGACTTTTATCTTTGTTTTGCCTGTGTGAGTTCTGACAAGTAATTTGGGTCTGCCATTTATGTATGTTTTGCTCGGTGAGAACCTGTCAAAGAAAGAGCACTTTAACATTTCAGGAAAAGACAAAAGTTACGAGTACTTAGAAAAATATTTAAAAATGGGATTTAACAACTAACTTTCGGCAGTTCAAAAATTATTACTAATTCCATAATAACCCCACTTTTGGTCGCACAAGAGATGGTTTTCCAAATTATCCAGTTTCCATCCATAAAAATCCCTTAAAAAGTTATATAGTCATTATTGTCCCCATTTTAATTCGCCGAAAATGACCATTACGACACCCATTAAGTCCCGAATGAATCCCCCCATGTGACTGGGCCATTGTGTCTGTGTTTGCTCACCAGTTTGCCGCTGGCCAGGTCCGTGATGGCGATGGTTGCATCCTCGCTGCTGCTTATGATGAGCGTGTTATTGGCGCCAGCTGCCACGCCCGTAATGGGAGCCGAGTGGGCGTTGCTAGGATAAACGGAGAAGCGGAGGATGTTTAGATAAATTGCGCCTGCAGAGATTTACAAATTACGCTCGAGGCGGATGGCGAATGGGAAAATGACAACGATAAGGAGACGGAGGAGTACACAGAGACTTATAAAGACTTATTCATAAATTAAGCAATTAATCGGAGAATTTCAAGTAAAACTATTATAGCTAGTCTTGTAGTTTAACAATATTAATTATTGTTTTTATTTAGTTTTCTGTTGTAAAATGGTATTGATATAATTTTAAGAATTTTATGATTAAATTAAAGATACAATTTTAGATATACCATTTTTTATTAAAAGATTTCTAATTTGTTTAACTACAGCAGCATTTAAATAATATTTTTTCCTCTGCCTTGGAAACCAATTTTTTCTACACCGGAAAAACCGTTCTCTCGATCATAAAAGTGATTTAAGGTGAATTCATTCTCAAATTCCTAAAATCATCATGAGGTTTCCTCGTCTTGTGAGACTACTTTTGTCTCGAAAAAAATGCATCAGGACAAAGCAAAACAATTTCAAGATTGCTTCATCTTGAAAATCAAACTCAAGACGACTTTTGTTTCTTGATTTCCAGATCGTTTACTCTTGAATATAGGATGACTCTATCTAAGCTTAACAATAGAAATAAATACCTATAAAAAACCCTAAAAAATAATATTATGTACAATTCGAGCTGAAGGCCAACGTCGCCATTGCTCAATATCATTACTAGCTCATAATTTTAATTATTTGTTAGCTCTTTATAAATAAATAAATTCTCTTGAATAAATAAGAAGACAAGTTATCAAATTTGGAACATTTGGTCTTGAATTTTTTCGAGAAATATTCGGTACAATATTTAAAATTAAAATTAAACAAAAATTAATAATTATTTTCCCATCCCTTTTCCCCCTGTGTACTCACGTAATGTGCGCCCGCCGCTCGCGGAGTCCTACGTGCCACACGAACACAGTGGCGTCCTCGGAGCCGGTCAGCAGTAACTCCGACTCGGTCTGGGGGGCCACCAGGAGGCACGTGACTGCCGCAGTGTGACCTGCGGGGTAGGAGATTAGCTCGTCTAATGGCGGGACATTTCATAACCCCCAGACCCACTCACCCTTAAAGATGTGCTCCAGCGAGTTGCTCATTATGTGCCACTGCTGAACGTCGCCGGAATTGGTGGCCAGGATGAGGTGCTGCTTGGACGGAGCCAGCCAAACGGAACGGATGCATCCCGTTCCGGACACCGTCATCGTTCGGATCTGCGAGGGCAGCGGGGCGGGCAGCCAGCCGGTGAGCGGCACGAGGAGCGGTACGGCATAGCCGTCGCACCAGGCGGTCGCCGAGCGGACCGTCATGCTCAGCAGCGAGTTGTCGTCGTCGTCGTGCTCGCTGATCGGCCGCAGCCAGGATATCAGCTGGGAGCCCAGCTGCATGGGGTCGCGGGTCAGGACATCACTAGACTTCCGGATCGTGTAGTAGATCAGCTCGATGTCCCTGTCCAGGATGTAGCAGCGCACGTGCTCGATCAGGCAGCGCAGGTAGCTGATGGACACGGTTTGCACCTGGAATTTTATTTAATATTTCATTTTATTAAATAGGAACGCAAACTTAACTTCGCTTGTAAAATACTTGTTCTTTAAAATAGCTCCTCATTGATATAAATTTTAACTACCAATCTAGGTTCCAACTTTCAAATCGCGGTTTCACTTAAAAATGTTATTTATCGGGTAACTAAAAGCACAGCCAGTAAAAAAACCCATTCTTCCCCATAATTAAACTTTAGAAAATAGTATGTTCTTTCCTCGAATAAGTTCGTTTCTTTATCGCTATTTTATAGCCACTCCAAAATAACAAACATTAAACAAACAAACAAGGGAAGCTTTTGGATGCTGGATAAGTTTACAGTCTTATAGAAATATTTGATGTACTTTCATTAATCATAATAAGCTTGTTTTTGTATCCCGAAGTCTGTGAGGGACTAATATTGTAAGAGTCTACTTTATAAACATCCTTTCAAGCATAAACAACAAACACGATTTATTAAGGTACCTTGAATCAAAGAGATGTTCTCTACCATTTGTGAATATCTTCATCTTATTATTTACAACATTCCTTCAGCCTGAACAACACTTATCAAAGAAATCCAACCCTTGTTACTCAATGTCAGAAGTCATCCTTTAAAACCGAAATGAAGTTAAACATTTTTGTTGATTAAAAGTGGTCTTTGAATTTAGAAATTTAAATAATAACGAGGCACTGTTTACTACATATGACATCTAAGCGGTTAATTAAGTAAGACACTTTCTTGTTAACTAAAAGGGAAAACACCCTAAATTATCTTAAAGAAATACTTCTGTTACTTTTTTCAATCGTTTTTTTCCAAACAAATAAATTTAATATTTACAAGGTACATTTAAAGTTTTAAACTTGTATACCGGGAAATGGAGACTGAAATCAGTTTGAATTTTACTGGACTGGGCGTTAATTAAATGCAAAATAGTTTATATTTTATTCATGGTTTCTCTATGCACGGTTTTCATGTTTGCCGCCGGGAATGCCAATATTGCCGGTTAAACATTCATCAGGAAGTTCGGTTCACAAAAGGATAAAAAAACAACGAACAAAATCGTTAATTTGATTGGCTCACATCCTCCCACACAAACTCAGAAACACACACACACGCTTAAAGAGAGACACAAAAGTTTAATTGCATACTTTTCAGAGTCAAATAATGAGTTTCCCCGGCTGAGTGAAACGGAATGGAAAGAAATTAAATGAGCTGGATGGCCCGGGGATTCGGGGGTCGGGGAATAACACCAAATGGCCAACTGCAGCGAAACAATTAGGCAAGCGAATTAAAAGAGCCAAAAGCTGTACGGGCTTTGCTTGAATTTTGCATTTTCGGAACGGGACGGCCAGGAGCATCCACTGAATATCCGCTCTAATTTCATTATCACATTATACTTTTGTAAGCCTTTTATTGAGCTAGACTTCGGTTGTCTATCTGCCTGTCTTTCTCAATTAAAATTATCCAACGTTTTGGCAGCTTTGGGGATTTGCTGCAGCCTGTTTTCTGCACGGAGCCAAACAATAATGTCCTGATTTTGTTCTTTAAAAAGCTTTCACATTCCTTAAATTAGAAATGACTGTTCCTTTAACTCTACTGTACCACTAAAAATTATAGCTCCTCACAGATAGCCATTTTGAAAAGTAAGCAATCATTCTGCACCTTTAACTACCAATCTAAATTCCAACTACCGAATGGCATTTTCCAATGAATGATTTCATTCATTGGACGACTGAAAGCAATAATAAAAACCACTTTTCCCCATAATTTAGTTTCACTTGAAGCTTTCAGCTCGACAGCTGTCCCTTTGAATGCACAAATTAACTTTGTGCCCATTTGCTGGTGCTAAATTTTGACATGTTGGCGAAAGACTGTCAGTTTGATTGCCAAATTAGCCAGGCAATTAAGAGGAACTCAGTGCCGGGTCTGACTGATTGGGTTTCCAGCTGGGGAAACCGACAAGGACGAGGCTAATTGGAAAGCTTACCGCCGCCAGCAGGAAGTCGAAGTTGCAGACGGCGATCTGCTTGAACCGGGTGGTGTCATCGGATCGCATCAGGTGGTGCCAGCTCTCCTCCACGTGGCGCATGCTGTAGCTCACGTCCGCTGCGATGGGGTTGTAGAAGGTGGAGGTGTCGTCGTTGTGGTGCGTGGACGACGACTTCCGGCCGGCGGAAACGGCCGAGGCCGCCGACAGCGAGTCCTTCTCCTTCATGCTGATCACCGACTTGGTCTCGCTGCGGTTGGAATCGTTTTCCAGCGTGCTCTCGTCCTCGTCCTGGGGAAAGAACAAGTTGGCCAGCTCGCAGTGCAGGCTGCGCGTCCTCTGGACGTCCATGTACCGCCTTTTGGCCACCGCAGAGCAGTAGTTGTGCCGCCACTGGATGAGTACCTTGCCGGACATAATCTTGTCGTGCAGGAGCAGTAAACGGTCTGAAAGATATAGGTGACATGTCTATGTTATTAAAGATTTTCGGGGATTGGATTGGTAAAGGTGTTGGCTAAACTAAACTCACAAATGACAAAAAACTGGTCATAAATATTTTAATTACCCCACAACGGGTAAGTCTTTAAGTCAAATTTACATGTAAATTGGCGTAGGCCCTATCTATTTAAAGGAAATAAGTCTTTCATAAGAAACATTAAGTTTCTGAATCTTCCAGACTGTTTACAAAAGTTTAGTTTCCATTGAACTTTTATTAGAACTGTTCCTTGAAATCAAACATTTTAATTGTCTTTCCCCCTTCCCTTAATATCATATTTTAAATAATTTTTTAACATTTTTAAACATGTATTTGAAAGATGGTTGAGTTTACAAACAACTTATATAAGACATTTTCATTGGAATCAAACCATTTACTTGCCATTTTTCCTAATCTTCAAGACTTTGTTTTGAATAGTTTAAAAAAAAATTTTTTTAATTACCTCATATAGTCTATTTGAAAATGTTAAAGAAATTACTAAGAGACTCCTGTTATACTAATCTTTTGTAAATATTACCGATACACAGAGAGAATTCTGATGTTCTCATCTGAGTTAAAAATGTTCTCAAAAGTAGAACAAAATTTTTTAAGTTGAAAATATTTTCAATGTTCTAGCACATTGGCTTGAAATTGGCGGTATTTTCATTGTTTATCTCAACAACCAAACTAATAGTCCAGGCAGTAGTGTATACTTATCATAAATTTGTTAAGTAAACTCAATTTAATTTTTCCTTAACTTTTTGTTCTGATATCGAGAACACTGAACCCAAAGTGCTTTTGCACGGTTTTTAAGAACGAATGTTCTCAATTCAAGAACAATGATCTTGAATGTTTCTCTCTGTGTGGATATAAATCCCGCCCGTAACCATCTACTCACCCATCTCGCGGTGGATCTTCTTGAAGGTGGCAAAGCTAAAGTGCCCGTTCTTGGTCTCGATGAGCGACTCGGGATCGTCGGTGGGCATGAGGAGCTCCAGCAGCTCCGTCTCACTCAATCCGTACTCGGAGCACGTGATGTAGGAGGCCAGATCGCCCACCGCCTGCCGTCCGTAGTGCCGTTCCAGCTGGTCGAACTGCTGCTCCACATACAGGGAAAAGCTAACATCGCGCGGAACGCATTGCGGAGGGATCCTGAGGCGGGTGGCGTGGTCACCCAGGTTCAGGTCGAACTGGTACTCGGCGGACTTGAAGCGATCCCGCTGCATCGGGGTGAACTTGAGCTGCTCCACGGGCGTGGTGGAGCTGCAGATGATCTGCACGTTCCAGGGCAACGAGGTGGGCAGCCACGAAAGAGCCGTCACAATATCGCAGTCCAGCGGATTCAGCAGATGCAGATCGTCGATAAATAGGAACAGGACATCGTTGGCCATATCCTCGACCTTGCGGAGCAGGTTCTGGAACCACGTGTTGATGTACAGCGGATCGAAGGAGGCGTCCTTGGGCAGATAGCCCTCCGGGATGTTGAAGATTATGGAGATCTGCTGGCAAATCACGCGCAGTAGCTCCAAGTTGTAGGCGGAACGGGGCGTGGCCTTAGCAAAGCGGATCACCCGGTGAACGCGAGCGGATCCGAACCAGGTGCCCACCTGCCCGTACAGGTGGCTCAGGATGGCGCTCTTGCCACTCCCATCGGCCCCGCAGAGAAAGTACGGCGCGTGCCGGCTGCCATTCCGGAAGTTGGTCATCAGATTCTGGCGGAGCTGCTGGGGCACCCGCGACTCCTCCAGAGCGGCACTGTCCGTGTGCTCCCGCAGGATGCGCAGGTGCGTCGCGTGTTCATGAAAGATTTCCTGGAATCACATACAAGATACAAAAGTTAAATACCTGTGGTTTCTATAAAAACTTAAGTTTACGGTGTATTTATTGAACTATTTAGCGCTATAAAAACGTAGTCAATCCGTTACGTTCACTTTAAATCGCTATGATTTTTACCCATTACAGGGTATAAAATGCCTTATGAAAATATGGCTAATATCTTATAAACCCTGTTCTATATTAATTCAAATATTTTCATATTTAATCATGTAATTCAAATGATTTTTCCTTTTATAAAATGATTTTTAAATTTAATTTTAATATGAAATACGATAATCCACTTCAGTTTTGATTTCTAAATATTCAATTTTGTTATCAGTATTACATCTGGCTTGTAAAACCTCAAATACCAATGATCTAAATATGCTTCTCATTGGTATTTCTCAATTTATTGAACCCTTTTTGATGCACATTTTGTGGGTTCCTCAATTTAAACCTGCAATTTTCGAATAAGATTAATTTGCCCTGCTTCATTTGACACAATTTCAATGTGAGGAATGAGAATTAAATTCCATGTTTAATGGCCGAGTGATGCCATCTGCACGTATCATTTATAACTTCATGGACGACAGGTTTCAAATTAAATCAGCTTAATTGGCAGTGCATTTTTTAAGGTTTACACACATATACAATTAATGAGTTGATTTCAAAAGTTAAAACGACGTGTGCATGTATAATTATCAAACGCGTTAAATATGTTTAAAATATCATTCGAGTGCTGCTACCAGTTGTTGAACAAGGTCAGCGGTGTACATGTTATTTTTTCGCAGAATTTAATTATATCCGATTGCGGACATATGAGAATCATTTGCATAGAAATACATATTCGACTGTATTTGGACCGGTAGCTGGTTTAGTTCTGTCGGTAATTGGATTTTCCAGCCACCTGCAGCCACATCTTCCCAGGACCAGTATCATTTCTCACCACATCCACCTCCCAACCCCCACAGCCATTCATCTCAGAGCAGTTTCCGTTTGTGATGTGACCTCTAAGAGGTCCTCCCACACTCGCACCTCCTCGGAAATGTGAGTAAATAAAATAAAGTCGCACATGTATGGCCAAGTGTCCTGGCCGCTTCCGTTCCACAGTGCCACAGATCCGGAGACCAGACCACGTCATCAGCATCAGTATCCCCATCAGCCTGAATGCGAGTGAGTGGCATTCACCGTGTTTGCCACGTAACTTTGTTTACCTTTGCCCTCGCCATTGCCCTCACCTTCGCCCGCCCGCTGGGAGGTGTTTGAGTGGGTTGTACTTAGAAAAACAAACCCACTAAATGGTGAAAATATAAAATGATATATATTCCTAGACTTAACTCAGTTTCCCTTTTGAGTGCCAAAAGAAAAATCTTATCAAATGGCTGGGAGAAATATGAGTGAATTTCGAAATGCTACGTTCTCGTAGCTGATCACAGTATTTAATAAATAAATAAATTATTATTAATAAATTATTATATATATTTTTTAAGAATATGTAAATTAAATAGAAAAGGCTTAATCAATGTGTTGACTGTATACAAGTAGACTTTGAAATTCTTCGTTTTGAAGATGTTTACCTTACTTATCAAAGAATACTCTAAGAATCATATTAACAATCTTTCATTTTTCGTTCTTTTGATGAACTTTAATTTTCAAGAAAATGGAAAGCATTATTAAAGAGTCAATCTAAATAAGCAAATACTTTAAAAATAACATTTAATTTTTTTAATATATATCAATTTTTTAGGAACTTATGGGTCATATGGCGAACCCTTTTAGCAAACAAATTAAAAACAGTTCTGGACATTCGGAAAACTTATGGAAGTTTTCAATATTTGTATTAGTTGTTATTTGTTTTAATTTATTGAAAGCTCCTTGTATAAATCAATGATTCATATAATAAACTTAATTTTTGGCGAGTGTCAGTCGTTTTGTCTGGCTGTGGCATGTTTCCCACTAACAAGTTGTCACCATGTCCTTGCCAGGATCTCATGCGGCGACTGAGTCTGAGTCTGAGTTTGTGGCGGAGTCTCTTATGCCATTTTTCGCCAGTAAGCGGCTTTTGCTTTGCAAATCTCGTTTGACAGCATCTGCGTAATGCACTTCCCGGCGACAAGACTACCGAATCAATACAGCCAGGAGCTGTGGGTCCTTCACCGCACCCCCTTTTCTCCCTTAAAGCCACCTCAGGTTGCGCTTAATTAGTTGGCATTTGACTTGCTTTAATTTCATTTCAGGCTAGTGCCGGAGCCTCACACACAAGGGTTGCTCATACGACGTGTTGCACCAGGTGAGCATTATGGAGGTGGGGCTACACACTTTGCATATTTCTTGGTTGCGGCAACGAATGCCACAACATTTTGTCAAAGAGCTCGGCGGAGGTGGAGCAAATGTCTCCTGCCTTTGCAACACTTTTATCCGCATCGGTGGGGGAGAATGGAATGGAATGGTTTGGTATGGGATGGGATGGGATGTTGACCGGGCCTGAATGCAGTTTACGTTGCTGCATCGTTAAGTGCAAACAAGGGACGACCTGGCTGGGCGTGGCTACATTGTGCCCAAGTGTAAGTGTGTTAATATGTCAGAGGCGGCGGCGAGAGGGGCGGCTAAGCCGTGAAAGGAAAATGACGAAGGCGAGGCTGGTGCTTGGAGCAGTGGGTCGGCAACTGGTAACTCGGAATCGGTCTTGATGCACTGGAATCTCTTCTAAGCCATTTAATTGCAAGTCATAAACTTGAAAGTTGTTAAGGTAGGTGACGGGCTGAAAAACTGCATTACAGAGTTATACTATCAATAAGGAAAGATCAAATGGACCTGATGTTTTACTTACTAACCAAAGTGAAAATGTTTCAAGGTTCTCGGTAAATTTTTATGAATAAACTTTAATGTTCTGAATAAATATTTCGTTTTTTTTTGAGACTACTTGTGACTACTCTACAGGATAAATATGTAGTAAAAATGGGGGAGCTGTAGTTTTACTAATTAGAACTATGCATTGATTCTTAAAATGGTAACGAGAGTTTTATATATACCATTGATGTAAAAATTTAAATTAAAAAGCGTTGCTTCCCATACATGTTAAAGATAAAAGATTATGATTATTAAAATTATAAAAATTATTACACTTTTGGGAGCTTAGAGATTTTTAAATTTTCTTGAATTTAGTTTCTATAATAAAATAATATTGGGACCGCTTTCTTAAAGTGTTAGCATTATAAAAAAAAATTTCAAAAAAAAAACAAATCTTCCTCAAAAACATGTAATTATTTTTAGTTCATTTTTTATAGCAATTTGTCGGCCTGGAATTTTGTCGAGTGCAGCACTCGAGTTCGCCCGCTAATGGCAGCGACCAGTTCGCATTACGCCTCGTCCTTCGACTGCGACCGAGTTGAAATGTTAAATGCTTTCAACAAAAGCCAACAAGAGGTGGCGAGTGAGAGGGGGTCTAAAGGGGTCCAAAAGGGGGCCCAAAGGGGATCAGGGGGATCTAGGGGGCGGAAAGTGGCGGCGAGTAAACTTATGCAATGCAGGGCCATACAGAAAACCGCAACTGGAACGGAAGCCGATCCAAATGGGGGAACAGGGAGCTGCTAAACGGGGAGCAGCGGCAGCCTTGATATAAACGATTTCCTTGGCCATTTGCCGTTTTTGGGCAAACTCGATTTCAATTGGTTTTTATTGCAGGAAATCTCTTTCAAACTCAATTTCGACAACTGTCATATGCAAAGCATACTTTTTCGGGCATCCTTATGCCTTCATACACACTCATATCTACACATACACCTGTGTGCACAAAAATAGCAGTAATCTGTTGCTAAGAGGCAAAAAATTAAATATAAATATATTATCTATAAATTTAAACAATTAAATAAAGTTATGGTTTATGAAAATGAAGACAAAGAAACTGTGAAAAAATTTTACCTATTTTATTGAAGCCCCTATTAAGATAAATATTCTGACCGATATTCGGCTATATCCTAAAGATGCTATAGGTTCAGTTGAAATAAATTTCTTTGCTTTCGATACAATTTCTTTTATGTATAAACAAAAGCTTTGAGTTTATATTACATTCAACTACAAGTATGGACCTTAGAGTATTTCTAAGTAACAAAAGTTAAATGTTTTAAGATTTTCGGTATATCATTATTGCCCTAAAATGTATTTAAAAAGTCCGAATATACTTTGATATTCTGAAACTGTTTGTGCTCACTTCATCCAAAAGTCATTCTTAGCACAAAGCAACGCTACAGGATAAATAAAAAGTAGTGGTTTAGAGTGTGGTTTTACTAAATAGAACTATCCATTGATTCATTAACATTCCAAACTACAAAATATAGATCATTGATTTATTATTTTCTAAAAAATACTACAAATGCTAATATTTTGATTACAGCTGTCTGTATAAGAAGAACATGCAGACGAGCAGTTTCTGTTGGATTTTGCTGGAAATTGCAATTGGCAAACAAAAACTCTCGACATATTTCAGGTAAAAGCTGATATAAAGAGAATATTCAACTAGATGTTATTTGAACACATTCCTTTAGCAAATTTTAAGACTGGCTTGTGTTCTATTTATTTTTGCCATTTTGGATTTGTTCTGCAAATGGCATCTTTATGTTTAGGCAATTGAGGTGGGACTTAGCCATACTATTTTCAAAAGACCATTTTCTGTTTCTCTTAAAGTTAATAGATAAACTTGTTTTCAATTACTTATCGAATTTCCAGCCAATTTTCTTCTATTTGTACAAGTTTTACCAGGCCAGAAGCTGTTCTTTGCAGCCTAATTCACCTGCCACATACCGAACATTTAATTAACACAACGCCATTAGCGAGGAACACGAGACCTTGTGGAATGGCCAATATGCAGGACCATAAACAATGGCGAAAACCCAGAACCCAAGCTTAACAAATAGGCATAAAAAACAAGGTAACGCGAAATCATAAAGGCCTGTTTCTCCACCTTGGCAAGCTTTGTCTGTGGGTAGTTCTTGGAATTAATTTATGATTCTTGGTTTCAGCCGCTGGCCAGCGAGCAAATAACAATCAGAATTGCTGTTGATTAAATAAGCGGTCAGCGGTTTAGAGAAGTGGGGAGTGTGCTGTGAAAATACATTTAATTTAATTCGCGGCCCTAAGCGTTTTGTTACCTGTCTGCCGTATTAATGACCCCAAGGCTCACCTGCACAGTCTTTTTCCTCCCCTTGATTACGTCGGGATCATTGGTTATGTGGGCCTCGATTAGCAGGCGCAGCTTGTCGGTGACTTTGTTCTTGAACTTGCTCAAGTAGGACTCGTGGTCCTCGTTGTCCGGGTCGATGGCCTCGCTGGCGGCACTGCCTGGTACTCTGTAATGGGTAATAGCCTTAATTAGCCGGCAATCATAACCACCAATCTCCGAAGGCCAGTAATTACGTTGGTGTAGGCCAAAATAATCAAAGTACAAATGGTGTTGATTACTGCTTTCTTTTGTCTGATGAGTACTTAAATATGTAGTTGATATACCTAGTAATATTACTGTGTTCATGCTATGACTATTTCATGAAATTATTTTTTGAATTGAACAAAATCGTGTGTGCATTAACACTGTTTCTTGATTTCGATAACACACGAAAATTGACTATGAATTCAGCCTCAATGAATGAAATGCACAGCCAACTTCAGAGCCTACTAGTCTATAGAGCTCTATTTTAATTTTAAATAATATGACATTTCAGCTGATATCATTTCATGATTTTGTTAGTGTTGTTTAAACAGGGGCTATTATTTCACGTCTCTGAAAATGCATGAAATTCATAGCATAAACATGGTATAGTTAGACTGAGTTATATACAAATTCTGAAATTACAAAAGTAGATAAGCAAATAAAAAACTTTAAATATCTGTTTTTAGATAGAACTCAACTTAAAATAATAATAAAACCTTTATCAATCTTTTCATATTTAATAGTCTAATGATTTCAAGTTCTGCATGTCAGCAGAATTATCTTATCGCTTTAACACCTTTGACATTTGTAATAATAAACACTTTTTTTTTAACTTCACATAGCTTTAAAGCGAAAAAGTGGTTGAGCAAAAAAGTTTTCATTGACATACATTTTGCATAATGCGTTTTTCTGTTTTCACAGTTGGTAAAAGTTATCGTATTAAAACTTTTTCGGAATATGAAATTATATCAACTTGAGTTATAAAAGTAATCCATTTTATAAGTAAATAGTGTGCTATTTGTGTACTTAATAAATTGTAGCTTAAACAAAGTTTCCTTTTTTTTTGTAATTTCTGAAACATAAGTTAATAATGCATCTGGAAGACTTACACAAGAGTGGTGTGATTATCCGTGGACAGGTTCATGGTGAGTTCGTCCTTGATTTTCCGCAAACGCTCCCCTGCCTCCACATCCCGCTTGCTGCACTGGGCAGCTCGTTCTCGGAAAACTGCGAGGATTTTCTCGCTGGTGAGAGCTATTCAAAATAGCATGGAAAATGGAATAAGATAGATTGTAAAAACTTTTAAAGGTAGAAATAAGACTTACCCATGGCCTGTGTGACCTCCCTTTCGATCTGCGTGCGTCGCAGCTGCTGAATCCGTTCCACGAAATCCGCGGATTGTCCTGATGCACTGGCTCCTTGGACCAGAGATTGCAGGGCTTGTTCAAAAAACTTCTGCATTAGCTGGGACTCAGTTAGCCAAGCATCCACAGCCATCATTCTGGAATGGAAAAACAACAGAAGTTAATCAATAACTGGTGGACAATTTCCAGATGTCGAAGTCGAATCAAGTGTTGGCATTTCCATATTTGTTCTGCCCCACCATACCATCCTACAAAACCCGCCCGTCCAACCAAATATTTGCCAAAGTTCGCCTCCAATTGAGTTGCCAAACAAAGCGAAAGTGGCACATGGATAATTTCAGTCAAACATGGGACAATGGAACGGAAAAGGAACTTTGACAAATATTGGCAAAGTTTGTCCATAACTATTTCGGTTGCAGTTTGAATTTCGGATAACTGCGCTTACAAAATAAAAAACCTTCAAAACAAAATTGGCGTCACTTGTTTTAGGGGACATGTGTAACCAATCAATAGTTTCATGAGAAAGGGTCCATATTTTCAAAGAGTTTATGATGGTAATTGACTGATATTTTAAACTCACCGATAGTCCTGCTTGAGCTGCCGCTTCGACTGAGATGCATCCTTTTCGTACCACTTGACCAGTAGAGCCTCGTGGTCAGCCGTGGTCTGCTGATCGGCCAGAATGGCGGAGAAGATGTCCTCATCCATTTGCGTGGGCACAAGCTGACGACCGATGCCATCGCCCACGAGCACCATGAAGAAGACGCTCTTCGTGTGGGCGTGGCAGGTGTCGATCTCGTGAAGGTAGTCGTGGATCAAATAGGGATCCCGTTCCAACTGGTTGACCTCCAGGTCGCCAGTACCGAAGTGCATGTCCACGAATTCGAGCTGGGAACGAGGCAAGAACAAATATTTTAATATATTTCCAAAGTGTATTTAAATTGAAAAACATAAATGGGAGAGACACAAAAATCACTAGAGCTTTAAAATCATTTATATATTTTTTTGTTTTTGTAAAAGTGTATATTTATTCAAAATTAACGGGTATACTGCTACCTATGTAGCAGCTTGAGCAGGTTGTAAATATAGGGGATCATTTAAAAATGTCATTAAAGGTGTCTTAAAGTATGCTGTGAAATAAGATAGTTATTTTTCTAAATGAATACATTGTACGTCTGATTTTAAAACATACTGTGTCATACCTTTATAGACCTAAAGTTTAATAATGATATGATAAATGAATAAAAATATTGACGATTAAGTATCTTTTTCGGAAATTACACTTAGTTGAAAACTTTAATAAAAGTTAAAAAGATAGTAAAATCCCAAGAAAAATATTATATGATTAGAATTGACGAATACTAACAGTTAAGTAACAGTAAAAAAAGTTTAAAAACTTAAAAAATTGACTCATGTATTCTAATGTGGTTTTCGTTACTATTTAAAAGTAAAAACTAACATTACATGAGAGTAACTATTTCGCTGGTTGGATTGACACTTCGATAGGTTGGGACCTTTAAACTATTAAATTGTTAAATTTATACAAAAAGTTTTTTGCGTGCAGGAATCCCTTTTGGTATAAAATTATGATAATATCGACTATTCAAGGGACAGCAACACACCAAGGCCCCTTTTCTTTTGTTAGCGTAAGCTAAATTTAGAACACTTCCAAATATATTCTCTTCCTTAAATCCTTCTTTAAGCTTACCCTAAAGACAAGAAACCAGACCTTGTTCTATGTCTTAATAAGTGATTTTAAAGTTTTTACATGGTTTCAATTTTAAAAAGTGTTTCAGAACCGAACCCACCTCTATTTGCCGGTCATCGTAGAGGGACTGCAGCTCGGGGCCCACCAGCTCGAGGAGCATGCGGCGCTCCTGGTTGAACTCCTGCTTCAGGCTGGCCACGTAGATCTTGATGAGGAGCGGCTTGGGCAGGCGGGTGTGGGCGGAGGTCACGCCCCTCAGTGCATTCAGCACGCTCTCGTCGACGGGCGCGGCCATTCTGCTTTCGGCCTGGTTTGCTTGTTTGGTTTTCTGCGGCTGTGTCTGTGATTGAGTGGGTGGGTGGTCTGCTCTCGCCTCGCCTGTTTATTTGAGTTGGCCGAAATCAAGTAGCATCGTCGCCCTCGTCGCGGTTTTACCAGAGTCAGCTCCAAGCAGCCCGCAGCTCTGGCTCATGTTCGGCCCGAGCGCCAAATAAATTTGTATCCCTATCCGAGTCCCAATCTGAATCTATATCTACAGCCGCGCTCCTCGCAACCGCACGATTCCTGGGCATAGCGGGCCAAAAGTTTATCCTTCTCGATTCAGCTGGAAATAAAAATTGAAAAGAGCAAAAATTGTATTTATGGCAAACTTTTTGCATAGCCGCAAACGTAATAAAAAACGAAGCCACACGAGACGAGAAAAGTTTCATCCCATGATCGAGCGGGGTATAAGTCCATATATACCATATACTCATTGTCAGGAAAAAAAGTGGGGTGAAGCGCACAAGTTGGACAAGTCAGCAAGTGTTAACATTTGGCTGGGTTGTTGATTGAAGCATTTGGGTAAAATATTTTTGGCATTTCCAAGAAGGGCGGAAGTTCTGGCCCTAAATTATAAGCTAAGGGAGGAAGGAAGCGCTTTAAGCTTGTCAAGAACGACAAAATTATTCTTAATAAATTGCTATCCATTTGTAGTTATATAAGTGACATTCTCAATAAAGTTCATAATTTATTTAATCAATTGAGTTTCGGTATTGTCAGCCTTTTTGTCAATCAATGAATTTTTAAAGAAGTTAAGATTTCAACAAGCTTTTGCTCTTAAAGTAGGGGCTACCGAATTAAGAACAACAATATTATTCCTAATAAATTGCTATCCAGTCATAGTTATATAAGTGACATTCTCAATAAAGGCTATAAATTATTTAATAAATTGAGTTCCATGGCGTATGGTCAGCCTTTTTGTCAATCAATGAATTTTTAAAGGAGGTAAGACTTCAACATGCTTTTGTTCTTAAAGACTAAAGATTGAAGGACTACCGAATCAAAAAAACCAAAATTATTCTTAATAAATTGCTATCCAGTCATAGTTATATAAGGGACATTCTCAATAAAGTTCATAAATTATTTAATCAACTGAGTTTCAGGGCGTTCGGTAACACGGTGCTGTCAGCCTTTTTGTCAATCAATGAATTTTTAAAGAAGTTTGGATTTCAACATGCTTTTGTTCTTAAAGTATACTTTTCCCATAGGGATTACCGAATTAAATAGAACACTATTATGGTTGGATAAAGAGAAAAACATTTATTTTTCTTGTGAAAAACACCCGGTGTTCATTTCTTTAAGCACTCCTTAAACGATTAAAAATAATTGAGAATCCTTTGTGCCGGCTTTAAGACAAGAGAGGACTTGAAAGGGGCCAGTGGGGCATGTCCTGTCGGAATCCTGCTGCCATACTGCCACTAATGAAGACCCTTCCCCGCGACCTGCACGGACCTGTCTGCCAACCGCCAAACAAAATCGATTGCCATTAATTCCGCTTCAATGAGTTGGCTAAATTGCTCGTTAGGACAGCGGCGGTGGCCAGGACATGGCGTGGTCCTGCGTATCCTCCGGCTTCCCCCCCCGCCATTTTATACTCCTCCACGACGAGGTGCAAGTGCCTTGGGTGTCGGTTTCAATCAGCCTGCGCAGCACACACTCACACGTGTTCCGCTGTCTCAATCTGGGTTATCTCCTAAATATTTGATTCCCAGCGAATTAAGCTTAATGAGCGCCCCGCCCGCCCATCGGGAAAGTCAAAGCGTTCTCAACGATGTGAAAATTATACGACCTGGACAAGTGTAAGACCCATTTTAGCTGACCGCAGACGTAAAGTGCTTAAGCCATATATCCTCTTCGAATATTTATTCTACCCAATGCTAACTTTATTTCAGGTTTTGCACTGCCCTGCTGATTAACACGTCTTTAATTCGCTGAAAATTAGGTGAACAGCTATTAAAAACAATATGCTTGACAGCATTAATTAATGATGTCTCATTTATGGTGGCTAACAACAGCACATTAAGCTCTGCAAAATTTTACGACGCATAATTGGTAATTTGATAGGTCTAGACTAACCAAAAACTCGTTTTTACTCAAGTGAAAATAATGGAACAATGAGGCCGCATTTCGCTTGAATTTTACGCCTTTGATGTGCAAATTTGCAACAGGGGTAAAAACTATTAAAAACCATTATGCTAAAAGAAATGTATATTGTTAAGCTGGCTGGTGTGTAGTTCAACGCGTTTAAGTATGGCGTTAATACGCTTAAAAATATGTGAAAAACATGGTATCAACATGCTTGCAACAAGTATTATTCTGGCAATTATGACTTAACTTATTGAAAATATAAATATGAAAATATTATCTGAGGGAGGAACAAAGCAACAACAAATATTCTGTATTTACGACGGATGTCTACTTTATTCACTGCTGTTATTCATTGTTTTGCTTAACTTTAAAATTTTTTTATTGCCTAACCGTCTAGCTTAGTTTATTATTTATTTATTCACATTTTAAATATTTATGCATTTCATTTTTGGGCTTAACTTTTTTCGATGACCTACATCACACTATGTTGTTATACCCTTTGGCTATGAAAATACTGGTTAAATAGGAGTAATAACACACATCAAAACATATAGTACGTACGTAAAAGCTAGCTCCTTGCATTCATGTTTAACAGACAATTTACCTTGCCTCGGCATGATCGTTATTGGCGATTAACCCCATTATTAGTCAATTTCCGATGTTTTAGGCCAGCGTTTCGTCAAAACTGTCAAATAACAAAATGTCCTTGGGGCTTGTCGTTCATCAGTGGACTGAGGTGGGGTGGGGGATATTAATGGCTATAGGCAAACACAATTTCTCCTTTGGTTGGCGGTGCCATTACTCTTCCATTGGGCTGTTGTGCCATGGATAACGTGGCTACTGTGGGTGTCAAATGGCCCCATTAGAGGATGGGCCCACTCTGATGCATTGGATAAGGAATGCCCAGAGCGAGCTGTCGATGCCGTCGATATCTTGTTAAATATTAAGGAGCACAGAGGAACCTTTCAACGCCGGCTGTCTGGGAAAGTTTGGTATGGCTGGGATACATGCCACATGCATTCCTTTTCATTTTCTATTTAATCGATTGAACGAACATAAAATGTTGCTGAATTGTTAATAACGCCTGACACATTTCTATTCGATTTTAAAATTCCTCAGAGGGGAGAATACTTTGCATAGTATAAATGCATGCAACTTAAGCAATTACTAAGGTTTTTGGTCAGTTAGTAAAGTCCATTTTCTCTGATTCAAGTCAAACCTTGTTAGTTGTGAAATAATATTTCGTTATAAGTTTCCGTCAGGAAAATCCAATAATTAAACGAACTAAATATTTCAATAATTATTTAACTTTCCTTTCTTTTAGCATGATACAATAAACCACTTCGTTTTGCATATTGTATTTTCATTAAAAAAGTTGTAAAGAAATTAAAAGTGGAAATGAAAGCGGAAAAGCTGAACACAGAAAAAGTCAAGTACTTCGTGACAAATATAAGTGATTGTAATTTTACCCAGAATAAATTATTATAGGTAAAGAGCAGAGCATGAAAATAATAGTGAATCTTATGTATTATATTTAAAAGTTCATAGGTAAAGTTAAAACATTTCTGATTAGAACATTTAAATATAATCTTGAGTTTATTTATAAGTTAAAGTAACTTTCCTATCTGTTAAATGAATTCACATTTCGGTTCTGCTGGATTTTCGCAAATATTTATAGAAAATCAATCATGGTAGTGTCGACGCACATATGCCATTCCAAATTCAATAAAGGCATATCTCGACTGGATATGACCATATTTTCTTGGCAACTTTATTAATGGATCCAGGCTCGACGGCCCAATAGCCCTAGCCCCTGACCATGGGTGATTTGCACAATCGAATGAGTGGTCGGTTCAGCATCCGCAAACTAGAATGAAAATAAAATATTGGCACTGACGCGCTGGACATAAATAAATAAATAAATGGATAATAAGCTAAAGGCCGCAACAGGCGGGAGCAAAACTCAGCCGGGAAAAGCGACAGCAGGCGGAAAAAGGCCTGGGGAAAACACATTGGGCCAAGTCAGCAAATTCAGCAGATTCAGAGGGACAAGTATGGGTGGCATTAATAATAAATCCGGTGCAGTGCATGTGTGTTGGCCCGCTTAGCTGCTCATTTTTTGTATAAATATTTAAGAGAAAGGAAAATACCAACAGGCGGGTATTCCGGGAAGGCCAGAATTAGAACAGTCGCCTTTCATTTGCAAATGCCAGCGAGCAGAAAGTTTTCCCAGCCGTTATTACCTGCATTTGTATGCCAAGGAGAGGCCCAGCCGAAAAGTATGCCACAAAACTTGCTCCTCCTTTTGGCTTTCTCCTTTCTCCTGTCTTTCGTCTCTTGTCCCGTGCAGCGGAAATGCCGAGAAAGCCAGAGAAAGTAAGCAAATATGCGTGTGTGTATGGGTATTGGTGTGCTTCATTTTTTGGGCGCAGCTGAGACTAGGGAACTGTACAGTGGGTGGAATAAGCCTTTTTAGCCATAAATTTCCAGCAGGGCTTTAAGGTACTACAAGTCCACATGGCGTATGAGTGTTTTTGGTTGTATATCATATTTTTGACTTTAAAGGTCTTATTGTTGTGTTATTATGAAGCAATTTCATTTCTAAACGTATTCTTTTAATGCGTTCAGTAATTATAGTTTAAAATGTTAAAATAATATTTTAAATTCTTAATATTTGTGGTCCTAGTATATATTTTATAGATTAAATATAAACATCGCAAAAAAGTTTTCCTTGTTTTATAACATGCCATTTGGTTAAAGCTAACTTCTTATCAAAAATGAATGAAATCTCCAACTTTGTCCTTGATAATCTTATGTTTAGGGATACAGCTCCACTTTTTCGACCAGAGTTCAGTGGAATTTCTCAAGGCTCTCATTGAAATAAAAGTTTATGCCGCCATCAGGCCAGACGTGGCTCCTGCTCCCCACATCCTCATCAGCCCCTTTGATAAATACAAAATGAGCTGCCATTTGGCGAGAGCTTGCCCTTCCCAATTCTCGTCGCGGGACAATTGATTCGGCTGGCTTCTGTTTCCTTATTTTTTGTTCCCGGTCCAGCGTGAAAATTGAGCAATTTCGGACCTTAACCGTTGCCCCGGCTCCCAATCGCCACCAAATTGCCATCGTTCGATTCTGGCCAGTTTCCTGTAATCAGCTACGTGCTCGGACGCATTAGGCAGTGGGCAAGCTATTTGC